AACAAATGCCTCGTTTGTAATGGGGTTTAATGTTTTTGTCTCGTCGCTCCGGCCTGGACACGGCATCACAGTATGTGAGGGGCGTAACATTTCCGTCTCACGTTTGAGGTATTCGGCCAATCACAATGCACCTTGCTTTTCAGAGCGATGAGCTTTGTAAAAATCGACACATTTCAGAAAGGCGGGGCATAGAGGAGAAACAGTAATGTACAGTATGTGGAAAATAATGTGTTTTTTTTACTTTAAACCGCATAAACTCATTTCATTACACCAAATACACAAAATAATGTTCTTTTTAGCAGCATCATATGACCCCTTTAAACACTGATTCATTCTTGAACCAAATACCACTACTGCCTTACTCAAGACGCAACACTTCATTCTGCTTTGACTTTGTTTGGAACTATTTTTGTTGACGGAGCAAAATTAGACCACCTGGCAATTTTGTGGCCAAAATGTAAGTTGTTAAAATGTAAATTAACTTTATTGATCTGTCAAAAGCAACAGCACAGTCATGTAGTTTGGTAACATAAATGTTACCGCAGCTGTTATTATCTGTTACAATTATTGTTATTATTATTGTCTGTTCTCTTTACTATTAGTGTTATATTTTATTTTATTACCTTAAATTATATATCCACTGTATATCAGCACTATGTCTGTACTTTGTTCGGCACTGGAAGTTTCTGTCACCAAGCTCTTCCTGATTCTGATTTGTGGCCGAATGATGTTCGGGACAACAGCACTCTTGCGCATGTGATTATTGCTCAATTAGATTAGATTACAAAATAATGCTTTAAAAACACACCTTTCATCACCAGCCTCATCTCATAGCAGGTTTTTTCATTCACTCTGCAATGATACCACAATTCATCAGTGTCGACTGCTTTTCTTATAAGCAAAGATCCGTTCTTCAGTAGTCTCGCTCTCTCAAACAGGGGGTTCGGGGGTTTCTCTGTGCCGCTTGAGGGCTTGTTTGGAGCGCGATACTGGGTTATATCTGTTAATTGGTGACCATTAATGACTTTCCAAGTGACTGGTTCAGTTCTGTTTTGTAGAGGATGTTCAGAGCATGGCAGTAACACTTGCGAGTTTAACGTTGCATGGACAGAGTTCAAAATTTTACACTCTGAAACAAGAGAAACACAGAAGTAGTCATATTATACATGTATATGGCTCTCCAATTGTGGTTATTAGCTTGGTTGAAAAATCTGCATTCTCACGTATAATACTCAGGTAAAATTGTGTTGAATGAAGGCAGTCCTGATCCTTGTAGACCTGACAGTCATAAAGGCCACCATCGGATAATCTGATGTCTTTCAGATCAAGTGTAAAATTTCCATCATCTTTCCTCACAGACCATCTCTGGTGCTCTGATGCTGGAGAGATATCTGGATACATCAGTATGTCTTTAACCGGGTTGATACTGCTTAGTTTGACTGTTAGAGAATCCAGCAGGTGGGTTGTTGATTGGCAAGAAATAGACATACAGTCACCATGTAAATGGCTTATGTTCAACTGAAGAACCTGCTTGCAGGGTCTCTCTGTTTCGAGTAAAAGGGAATAAAAAAGAGAAATGATACATCCTGAGAGAACTGGGACATAGAAAGACAGGAAACCACCAAAGGGTTTACAATAAAAAAAAAAATCAAATGATCCTCTTGATTGTCTGTGTATAACAACATTAAATTCATAAACTGACTTTTATATCAATTTTGGATAAATATATTGTCTGGGTTAATCTTTGCGCGCGCACACACACACACACACACACACACACACACACACACACACAGGTTTACATTTGTGAAAAGTGGGGACATTCCATAGGCGTAATGGTTTTTATACTATACAGACCGTATATTCTATTGCCCTTTACCATCCCTACCCCTAAACCTACCCCTCACAGGAGACTTTGTGCTATTTCAGATTTTCAATACACTCCATTCTGTGTGATTTATAAGCGTTTTGAAAAGTGGGGACATGGGGTAAAAAGTCACCTTCTCCTTGTAATACCTATGTCATACCTTTGTCATTATACAAATTTATGTCCTCATTTGTCGCAAAAACGCGTACACACACACACACACAGTCTGGTCAGCTATCCTTGTGGGGACTCCCCATATGCGTAATGGTTTTTATACTGTACAGACCGTATATTCTATCACCCTACACCTAAACCTCACAGGAAACTTTGTGCATTTTTAGATTTTCAAAAAACTTCATTCTGTGTGATTTATAAGCTTTTGTACCCGTGGGGACCACAATTTAGGTCCCCACCGTGACACGGGTCCCCATGAGTCTGTGTGTAGTCAGGTTTAAGTCCCCACCAGAATAGAAAAACAGGTACACACACGCACAAATTAAAACAAAGACTGTCCTTAGTGACACACTTTCTTGCTTTAAAATGTAAGCTTTACACACTAGCTAACAGAACACATTTTCTTTAGCACAATTGTTAACAAGAATTTTTTTCCAAATTTCCAAATAAGTAACAATTATGTAACTTATGAATGACATTGATCATATTCATGTCACACCCTTGTCACATTTACACACCCACAGTACATTGATTATATGCATATCTCTTGTTTGTAAGTTGGTTAAATGAATTTGACTTCATATAAAAGACGCTTACCTTTGCATTCTAATAACGCTGCTATTAGAAGACACAGGAGTTGGAAATATGGAGACTGAAAACTCCTCATCATATACAGATGCTCACAGCAGGACAGCTGAACTCTATATGAGCACAGGCCACATCACTTCACTTTCACAGACCTGTTTTCAGTTACTCCACATTTAATGCGGAAGTAGGAAATATGGTCTAATTCTGTGCTCATATAGAGGCCTTCAGTGAGCAATGGGGAGTCATATTTGCTACTTTAAAATCTTATGATAGCAGATGTATTAGAAAGCTGCTGTTAGATGTAGAGGATGGAAATGCAGTTTGAAGACTAAAAACACCCCATCAAATAGATAGTTTCGAGTATAGCTCACTGCAAAACAACTCATATGAGCGCACAGGCCACAAGACCTTTTACCTTCACACAGTTGTTTTTGTAGAGCCAGAGTAGGAAATGTTATCTGTGCATAATGTCAGAGACGTGCAATTTTGCATATATTTTAAATAAATTGAAAACAATTATCTACATGAGTTAGTTATTTTTAAGAAAATAACATATACATTTTCAATGTAAACACCTATTAAAAGTTGAAGTCTAAAAAATGAAGTATTATTCCTTTCTAAACCTTGATTTCTTATCTCGAAGGACTGTAAAACAGGAACACAAGTAGGATGCATGTTTTGGATTATTAACGCCATTTCTCTTTGACTTACTTTTGCTATGTTACACTGTAAAAAAATATGAATACTCTCTGCTGACATTTTTGGAAAGATGTACAAAACTGCAATTTTAATTTCCCTCTCTTAACATTCACCTAATGAAATCATCAGTGATTGGAAACTTCAAACTAAATTCAATCCTGTTCCCTCCATCTGAATTCATTCACTTTATACAAAAGAAAGTTTCTTATTTCTTCAATTTATCCTTCATTACTTAAGTTAAATTAAAACATTAAAATGAAAACATTATGGTCTCAAATTAGGTCAGTAATATTCTCAATTCAGTTACTAAATGGCTTCAACTTTCTTTTTTTACACTCAAATTAAAGTGATCATTAAAGCTCTTTCACAAAAGGCCCTCTAAGGTGGAACTGATGTCTAGATTAATGAAAAATCCATGTCTGAAATCTATTTGACTCAGTGACAGTGAAAATGTTAGGAGTCTCAGTGTGTGAAAAGCCATTTTCCCATTTTATGGACATAAAATAATTAAACCTGAGATTGCACATCTGGTTTATACAGTAATTATGGTGATGTGGAGTAGCAGTTAAAGCTCAAGAGTGGAAAACAAAAGACTGGAGTTTCACTATCTATTAACAGTTTTACAGCAGGACTGAAGTTACTGTGTGTCCAAAAATGAAGCATCAGTTATTTTCCTTAATCAACGGGCAACTCTCATGCACACCCCATTCCACAGATTCCTCTCTCAGTCTTCAGCAGGAACTGGTCTGTAGGTTGCTCTCGGTGAGGATGGAGGTTATGCTGGAATGATCATCCATCATTCATGACAATCCATCATCATCATCATCATCAGAGCAGAGCTGAGCACTGAAGACTCCAGAGCTGACTGTCGAGCCTGCTGGATCTTCCTCCTGAGAGAAAAAACAACAACAGTTTGACAGTAGTGTCTATCAGTGTAACACTATACATCCATGCATACTTTCTCCTGCTTATCCTCTGTAGGGTCACGGAGATTCGGAGGCCTATTCCAACATCTCTGGCAGGAGAAACAGCCTGGTCAGATGATCAGTTCATCACAGGACTCATAAATGTAAAACTTTTTTAACATGTTTTAATTCATGTATAATTATTAAACGTCGTTTTTATTTATTTGTTTATTTTTAGATTATTTATTTTTTTTAATATTACTTTTATTTATTTATTTATTGTCAATATTTGGAACAGTGGTTCTTGAAAGTTCTGGAATCAAAAATGTATTGTGGTTAATTAATTTACACATATCGACACTCCTTTGCGTCAAAAGGTTGAGATTTACTAATTTATAATGAGATTCTGTGATTCCAGGATGTGCATATGATGTGATGAACAGGGTGTGACAGTGGTTTTTCACAGCATGAGCAGTGTGTGCAGCTGATCTGGGGGAAGATAATTTGTGAGTGAGGTTTAGAAAGGTAAAAGACCTTAAGATATTAGAAGTGTGAGCAGTCTGGACACGCCAGTATTTTAAGATACACACACTGCCCTCTGCAGGCTTAAGTGAGCATTACATTATAGACTACAGTAATAGACTTCATACATGCACATATACTGTAGTAGATCATATTCTGAATACTGCACCAAGCACATCAAAATAGCAAATCAGCCATAACTGCTTTCTATTAAAAAAACTAAACTTATTTATATGAAAAATGATTTTAAATACTCCACCATTATCTTCTCTCTTAGTCACACACACTTACTTAAAGGGGACATATCGCGAAAATCTGACTTTTCCCGCATTTAACCGTGAAAAAGGACAACTCAGTAACTTTGTTTTGGTAAGCCTTTCTCTGCAAGCTTGTGAAAAAAACGAGGCGCTCAGATTTCGCTCCCTTGGTGAGCAGGAAGGGGGTCTTATTATAATATCACGCCCCTTAATCTGCACGTTTTGGCACTGCTGTCACTTAATGCACAGATCTAATATAAACATGCAATTCATTTCCCAGTTGTTTACCTTCACACACATAACCGACTGTGTTTTTGTAACTTATGTGTGTCTTATTGACAGTTTAACCCTTTAACTGTGACCCCCCATTTTTTAAAATAGGCATGCAGGTGGACTATCCAAACATAAATTGTTGTAATTTATGAACAATTTGGAATACAGACATAAGGTTGGCCTCTTTTTAAAGAAGAAAATCAGCACTTTATCGCAAAAATTTCAAAAAATGTAAGTATCACAAAGTTATAGTAGTTTAAATTTACTGTAAAGAAAATGCACTATATTAATTACATTTTATATATAATAAATATTTTACATATCAGGTTTTACTCTAAAATTGGTATAAAATTATAGCCTTACGTCTAAATAAGTTATGTTCCAAATTTGAAGTTGATATGAAAAAAATTGAGGTTCCTGTGAGATTTTATTTAGGGCGTTATACCATAAACAGCCACCGGGTGCCATCCAAACTCCATTGAATTTTTTAAAATGCATTTTTCTGTCACAAATGTCTAGATTTCTCTGTCAATATTACTTCTATCTCAAAATAAATACCTGAGACTCAGACCTTTCCAATGATATGTTTTTTGTCAAGATTATAAAAAGTTTTGATTCTAAAAGACTGTAATTCATTTTGTAATATGACACTTGACACCGCCCACTAAGGGGGAGGAGACCGCCAAAGGATTTTAAAGTACCATTTCCATGGTAACGCAATGTCTGATTTCGAAATGGTTTTCACAGGATGAATCTTGTGCTTCTAAGCTTTTTCAAATGATATATGATTTATGATGATTACTAAAAGATTTGATAGAGAAAGAAGACAACAAAAAAAAAGAGCGCCAAACGGGACGGTGACAGTTAAGGGGTTAAGTGCAATAAGACATGAAAGAGAACTTACTTTAGTACTCAGGTGCTTTCTGTGCGCGTGCTTCAGATGTGTTCGCTATATCAGAAAACACTATATCAGAAGTTTAAACTGATATGGCTTTAAAACGCATTGTTTCGGGGCATATACATGATTATCAAAACCAAACAGATGTTTTTTTTGGCAGAGTGAGGTACCAGCAGTGCTCAACAACAATGATTTGCAGAGGGTCATTGCTGCCTCACTCCAATTTACATTTGTTGATCTTGTTTTTAAGCCTTGCAAACTTGTTAATGTTAACCATGAACAAATTGCCAAAAAGACTGGAAGCGTCAATGCATTCAAATGAGTTGAAAATGATAAACAAATCGGCATTGTTGTCACTGTTTTCCAGAAAAAGTATTTTTTATCCACCTTATTTTGAACATAAGAGTGGACGTGGACATTTTTACCTTGAATTTGCAGGGCTTCCGTTGTCATTTCCATTTATTTCCGCTGTACTAAAACAGCTGATTATGCCGCTTGTCGTTTGATGTTGCAAACGGCTATTTTTATGATATTATTTTAATTTATGAAATTTTAAAATTAATTTATGACCATAGCCATAGCCATAGCCCAATTAAATTGTGTATTGCAATAAAAATATTATTAAAATATATAAAATTTATATATTTTTAAAAAACATATAAAAATATATGATAGACATGATCGCTTTATATGATGAACAGATTTAATTTAAGCTTTTATTTACATATAAACACATCAAATATGCCAAGCAAGCTTCTGTTTATCATATTTTGATATGCTCAGTGTAAGCATGCTGATCAATGCCAGTATGTTTTCCATTCAGTTTATGGGCATTTCCATCAACCCTAAAGTGCAATGCATAAATTAAAATGCCCTTGAAAAAGAAATGTGGAAAAATCCCTCATATTTACAAAGTATACTGGGTCAAAATTTTTAAAGACTTTTTAGTGTGTAGTAAAGTCTGTTTATATCAGTCCCTATAAGGCAAGGCCTTCTATCAATGACTGTAAATTTGTATAAAATTGCATTTAAGTATTTGCATTTAAGTTGATACATAGAAGAAGCATTTTCATAGTATAATACTAAATCGTTTATGAAAATTTGCTGGAGGCATTACACTCATTTAAAACAAAAAGAAAGAAAAATCAAACAAACATTAAAAACAGTAATTTATTTCACATTCTTTCTATTATCGTAGATGTTGTCTGGATTGCACGCGGGAGCTTCTGTTTGTTCACGCCAGCTGTTGGGGGATAAAGTTCAAAAATTAATTTGGTCAGCAAAAAGTAAATTCTTTGAATTATGTGCACTTTGCAGATGTACAGTATACATACTGTACAAGATGCCCATTCTATAAAGTGAGATAATAAATTCTACAAAACTCTTAAAAATTGCAATGGAAGCTACATACGTATAGTATATATTGTTGTGTAGTTTATGCCAGTCATGAAATTCAGACTTGAGAGGAAGTGCAGTGTTACATTTGGCATGTTTCACATTTGTTGTGAATGTGTTTATATGAAGTTTTTAGTAAAGAATGTAAATTAGTCCAAACCAAAATTATGTGATTTTATCCCAGCTTAATTGTTAACATATTTTTATGTTCAGGACAGATATGAAGTGAATGATTTAAAGGGGTCATATGATGCTATTTTAAAGATCATTATTTGGTGTATTTGGTGTAACAGAATATGTTGACATGCTTTAATGTTCAAAAAACACATTATTTTTTAAAATACTGTACATTATTGTAGGTTCTCTATGCCCCGCCTCTCTCAAACAAGTAGTTTTCAACAAAGCCCCCTTGCAGTCTGCTCTGATTGGCCAGCTGACCCAGTGCATTGTGATTGGCCGAACACCACAAGCACGCGTCGGAAATGTAACGCCCCTTACCATAATCGCGAGATTCAGATTTCAATGTAACTATCAAGACAGTTAATAATGTCTTAGTTTTACCATCAGTTCAAGCCAGGAAGGGCACCAGAGCCACGTGACAGACACAGTGATGATGCAGTACACAAGCCGCGGTTAAAGGGGTCATATGATGCTACTAAAAATAATATTATTTTCTGTATTTGGTGTAATGAAATATGTTTATGCGGTTTAAGGTTCAAAAAACACATTATTTTCCACATACTGTACATGATTGTTTCTCCTCTATGCCCCACCTTTCTGAAACGAGTCGATTTCTACAAAGCTCATCGGTCTGAAAAAGCGAGGTGTGCTGTGATTGGCCGAATACCTCAAGCGTGTGACGGAAATGTTACGCCCCTCACATACTGTTGATGCCGTGTCCCTGATTCTGATTTGTGGCCGAATGATGTTCGGGACAACAGCACTCTTGCGCATGTGATTATTGCTCAATTAGATTAGATTACAAAATAATGCTTTAAAAACACACCTTTCATCACCAGCCTCATCTCATAGCAGGTTTTTTCATTCACTCTGCAATGATACCACAATTCATCAGTGTCGACTGCTTTTCTTATAAGCAAAGATCCGTTCTTCAGTAGTCTCGCTCTCTCAAACAGGGGGTTCGGGGGTTTCTCTGTGCCGCTTGAGGGCTTGTTTGGAGCGCGATACTGGGTTATATCTGTTAATTGGTGACCATTAATGACTTTCCAAGTGACTGGTTCAGTTCTGTTTTGTAGAGGATGTTCAGAGCATGGCAGTAACACTTGCGAGTTTAACGTTGCATGGACAGAGTTCAAAATTTTACACTCTGAAACAAGAGAAACACAGAAGTAGTCATATTATACATGTATATGGCTCTCCAATTGTGGTTATTAGCTTGGTTGAAAAATCTGCATTCTCACGTATAATACTCAGGTAAAATTGTGTTGAATGAAGGCAGTCCTGATCCTTGTAGACCTGACAGTCATAAAGGCCACCATCGGATAATCTGATGTCTTTCAGATCAAGTGTAAAATTTCCATCATCTTTCCTCACAGACCATCTCTGGTGCTCTGATGCTGGAGAGATATCTGGATACATCAGTATGTCTTTAACCGGGTTGATACTGCTTAGTTTGACTGTTAGAGAATCCAGCAGGTGGGTTGTTGATTGGCAAGAAATAGACATACAGTCACCATGTAAATGGCTTATGTTCAACTGAAGAACCTGCTTGCAGGGTCTCTCTGTTTCGAGTAAAAGGGAATAAAAAAGAGAAATGATACATCCTGAGAGAACTGGGACATAGAAAGACAGGAAACCACCAAAGGGTTTACAATAAAAAAAAAAATCAAATGATCCTCTTGATTGTCTGTGTATAACAACATTAAATTCATAAACTGACTTTTATATCAATTTTGGATAAATATATTGTCTGGGTTAATCTTTGCGCGCGCACACACACACACACACACACACACACACACACACACACACAGGTTTACATTTGTGAAAAGTGGGGACATTCCATAGGCGTAATGGTTTTTATACTATACAGACCGTATATTCTATTGCCCTTTACCATCCCTACCCCTAAACCTACCCCTCACAGGAGACTTTGTGCTATTTCAGATTTTCAATACACTCCATTCTGTGTGATTTATAAGCGTTTTGAAAAGTGGGGACATGGGGTAAAAAGTCACCTTCTCCTTGTAATACCTATGTCATACCTTTGTCATTATACAAATTTATGTCCTCATTTGTCGCAAAAACGCGTACACACACACACACACAGTCTGGTCAGCTATCCTTGTGGGGACTCCCCATATGCGTAATGGTTTTTATACTGTACAGACCGTATATTCTATCACCCTACACCTAAACCTCACAGGAAACTTTGTGCATTTTTAGATTTTCAAAAAACTTCATTCTGTGTGATTTATAAGCTTTTGTACCCGTGGGGACCACAATTTAGGTCCCCACCGTGACACGGGTCCCCATGAGTCTGTGTGTAGTCAGGTTTAAGTCCCCACCAGAATAGAAAAACAGGTACACACACGCACAAATTAAAACAAAGACTGTCCTTAGTGACACACTTTCTTGCTTTAAAATGTAAGCTTTACACACTAGCTAACAGAACACATTTTCTTTAGCACAATTGTTAACAAGAATTTTTTTCCAAATTTCCAAATAAGTAACAATTATGTAACTTATGAATGACATTGATCATATTCATGTCACACCCTTGTCACATTTACACACCCACAGTACATTGATTATATGCATATCTCTTGTTTGTAAGTTGGTTAAATGAATTTGACTTCATATAAAAGACACTTACCTTTGCATTCTAATAACGCTGCTATTAGAAGACACAGGAGTTGGAAATATGGAGACTGAAAACTCCTCATCATATACAGATGCTCACAGCAGGACAGCTGAACTCTATATGAGCACAGGCCACATCACTTCACTTTCACAGACCTGTTTTCAGTTACTCCACATTTAATGCGGAAGTAGGAAATATGGTCTAATTCTGTGCTCATATAGAGGCCTTCAGTGAGCAATGGGGAGTCATATTTGCTACTTTAAAATCTTATGATAGCAGATGTATTAGAAAGCTGCTGTTAGATGTAGAGGATGGAAATGCAGTTTGAAGACTAAAAACACCCCATCAAATAGATAGTTTCGAGTATAGCTCACTGCAAAACAACTCATATGAGCGCACAGGCCACAAGACCTTTTACCTTCACACAGTTGTTTTTGTAGAGCCAGAGTAGGAAATGTTATCTGTGCATAATGTCAGAGACGTGCAATTTTGCATATATTTTAAATAAATTGAAAACAATTATCTACATGAGTTAGTTATTTTTAAGAAAATAACATATACATTTTCAATGTAAACACCTATTAAAAGTTGAAGTCTAAAAAATGAAGTATTATTCCTTTCTAAACCTTGATTTCTTATCTCGAAGGACTGTAAAACAGGAACACAAGTAGGATGCATGTTTTGGATTATTAACGCCATTTCTCTTTGACTTACTTTTGCTATGTTACACTGTAAAAAAATATGAATACTCTCTGCTGACATTTTTGGAAAGATGTACAAAACTGCAATTTTAATTTCCCTCTCTTAACATTCACCTAATGAAATCATCAGTGATTGGAAACTTCAAACTAAATTCAATCCTGTTCCCTCCATCTGAATTCATTCACTTTATACAAAAGAAAGTTTCTTATTTCTTCAATTTATCCTTCATTACTTAAGTTAAATTAAAACATTAAAATGAAAACATTATGGTCTCAAATTAGGTCAGTAATATTCTCAATTCAGTTACTAAATGGCTTCAACTTTCTTTTTTTACACTCAAATTAAAGTGATCATTAAAGCTCTTTCACAAAAGGCCCTCTAAGGTGGAACTGATGTCTAGATTAATGAAAAATCCATGTCTGAAATCTATTTGACTCAGTGACAGTGAAAATGTTAGGAGTCTCAGTGTGTGAAAAGCCATTTTCCCATTTTATGGACATAAAATAATTAAACCTGAGATTGCACATCTGGTTTATACAGTAATTATGGTGATGTGGAGTAGCAGTTAAAGCTCAAGAGTGGAAAACAAAAGACTGGAGTTTCACTATCTATTAACAGTTTTACAGCAGGACTGAAGTTACTGTGTGTCCAAAAATGAAGCATCAGTTATTTTCCTTAATCAACGGGCAACTCTCATGCACACCCCATTCCACAGATTCCTCTCTCAGTCTTCAGCAGGAACTGGTCTGTAGGTTGCTCTCGGTGAGGATGGAGGTTATGCTGGAATGATCATCCATCATTCATGACAATCCATCATCATCATCATCATCAGAGCAGAGCTGAGCACTGAAGACTCCAGAGCTGACTGTCGAGCCTGCTGGATCTTCCTCCTGAGAGAAAAAACAACAACAGTTTGACAGTAGTGTCTATCAGTGTAACACTATACATCCATGCATACTTTCTCCTGCTTATCCTCTGTAGGGTCACGGAGATTCGGAGGCCTATTCCAACATCTCTGGCAGGAGAAACAGCCTGGTCAGATGATCAGTTCATCACAGGACTCATAAATGTAAAACTTTTTTAACATGTTTTAATTCATGTATAATTATTAAACGTCGTTTTTATTTATTTGTTTATTTTTAGATTATTTATTTTTTTTAATATTACTTTTATTTATTTATTTATTGTCAATATTTGGAACAGTGGTTCTTGAAAGTTCTGGAATCAAAAATGTATTGTGGTTAATTAATTTACACATATCGACACTCCTTTGCGTCAAAAGGTTGAGATTTACTAATTTATAATGAGATTCTGTGATTCCAGGATGTGCATATGATGTGATGAACAGGGTGTGACAGTGGTTTTTCACAGCATGAGCAGTGTGTGCAGCTGATCTGGGGGAAGATAATTTGTGAGTGAGGTTTAGAAAGGTAAAAGACCTTAAGATATTAGAAGTGTGAGCAGTCTGGACACGCCAGTATTTTAAGATACACACACTGCCCTCTGCAGGCTTAAGTGAGCATTACATTATAGACTACAGTAATAGACTTCATACATGCACATATACTGTAGTAGATCATATTCTGAATACTGCACCAAGCACATCAAAATAGCAAATCAGCCATAACTGCTTTCTATTAAAAAAACTAAACTTATTTATATGAAAAATGATTTTAAATACTCCACCATTATCTTCTCTCTTAGTCACACACACTTACTTAAAGGGGACATATCGCGAAAATCTGACTTTTCCCGCATTTAACCGTGAAAAAGGACAACTCAGTAACTTTGTTTTGGTAAGCCTTTCTCTGCAAGCTTGTGAAAAAAACGAGGCGCTCAGATTTCGCTCCCTTGGTGAGCAGGAAGGGGGTCTTATTATAATATCACGCCCCTTAATCTGCACGTTTTGGCACTGCTGTCACTTAATGCACAGATCTAATATAAACATGCAATTCATTTCCCAGTTGTTTACCTTCACACACATAACCGACTGTGTTTTTGTAACTTATGTGTGTCTTATTGACAGTGACCCTTTAACTGTGACCCCCCATTTTTTAAAATAGGCATGCAGGTGGACTATCCAAACATAAATTGTTGTAATTTATGAACAATTTGGAATACAGACATAAGGTTGGCCTCTTTTTAAAGAAGAAAATCAGCACTTTATCGCAAAAATTTCAAAAAATGTAAGTATCACAAAGTTATAGTAGTTTAAATTTACTGTAAAGAAAATGCACTATATTAATTACATTTTATATATAATAAATATTTTACATATCAGGTTTTACTCTAAAATTGGTATAAAATTATAGCCTTACGTCTAAATAAGTTATGTTCCAAATTTGAAGTTGATATGAAAAAAATTGAGGTTCCTGTGAGATTTTATTTAGGGCGTTATACCATAAACAGCCACCGGGTGCCATCCAAACTCCATTGAATTTTTTAAAATGCATTTTTCTGTCACAAATGTCTAGATTTCTCTGTCAATATTACTTCTATCTCAAAATAAATACCTGAGACTCAGACCTTTCCAATGATATGTTTTTTGTCAAGATTATAAAAAGTTTTGATTCTAAAAGACTGTAATTCATTTTGTAATATGACACTTGACACCGCCCACTAAGGGGGAGGAGACCGCCAAAGGATTTTAAAGTACCATTTCCATGGTAACGCAATGTCTGATTTCGAAATGGTTTTCACAGGATGAATCTTGTGCTTCTAAGCTTTTTCAAATGATATATGATTTATGATGATTACTAAAAGATTTGATAGAGAAAGAAGACAACAAAAAAAAGAGCGCCAAACGGGACGGTGACAGTTAAGGGGTTAAGTGCAATAAGACATGAAAGAGAACTTACTTTAGTACTCAGGTGCTTTCTGTGCGCGTGCTTCAGATGTGTTCGCTATATCAGAAAACACTATATCAGAAGTTTAAACTGATATGGCTTTAAAACGCATTGTTTCGGGGCATATACATGATTATCAAAACCAAACAGATGTTTTTTTTGGCAGAGTGAGGTACCAGCAGTGCTCAACAACAATGATTTGCAGAGGGTCATTGCTGCCTCACTCCAATTTACATTTGTTGATCTTGTTTTTAAGCCTTGCAAACTTGTTAATGTTAACCATGAACAAATTGCCAAAAAGACTGGAAGCGTCAATGCATTCAAATGAGTTGAAAATGATAAACAAATCGGCATTGTTGTCACTGTTTTCCAGAAAAAGTATTTTTTATCCACCTTATTTTGAACATAAGAGTGGACGTGGACATTTTTACCTTGAATTTGCAGGGCTTCCGTTGTCATTTCCATTTATTTCCGCTGTACTAAAACAGCTGATTATGCCGCTTGTCGTTTGATGTTGCAAACGGCTATTTTTATGATATTATTTTAATTTATGAAATTTTAAAATTAATTTATGACCATAGCCATAGCCATAGCCCAATTAAATTGTGTATTGCAATAAAAATATTATTAAAATATATAAAATTTATATATTTTTAAAAAACATATAAAAATATATGATAGACATGATCGCTTTATATGATGAACAGATTTAATTTAAGCTTTTATTTACATATAAACACATCAAATATGCCAAGCAAGCTTCTGTTTATCATATTTTGATATGCTCAGTGTAAGCATGCTGATCAATGCCAGTATGTTTTCCATTCAGTTTATGGGCATTTCCATCAACCCTAAAGTGCAATGCATAAATTAAAATGCCCTTGAAAAAGAAATGTGGAAAAATCCCTCATATTTACAAAGTATACTGGGTCAAAATTTTTAAAGACTTTTTAGTGTGTAGTAAAGTCTGTTTATATCAGTCCCTATAAGGCAAGGCCTTCTATCAATGACTGTAAATTTGTATAAAATTGCATTTAAGTATTTGCATTTAAGTTGATACATAGAAGAAGCATTTTCATAGTATAATACTAAATCGTTTATGAAAATTTGCTGGAGGCATTACACTCATTTAAAACAAAAAGAAAGAAAAATCAAACAAACATTAAAAACAGTAATTTATTTCACATTCTTTCTATTATCGTAGATGTTGTCTGGATTGCACGCGGGAGCTTCTGTTTGTTCACGCCAGCTGTTGGGGGATAAAGTTCAAAAATTAATTTGGTCAGCAAAAAGTAAATTCTTTGAATTATGTGCACTTTGCAGATGTACAGTATACATACTGTACAAGATGCCCATTCTATAAAGTGAGATAATAAATTCTACAAAACTCTTAAAAATTGCAATGGAAGCTACATACGTATAGTATATATTGTTGTGTAGTTTATGCCAGTCATGAAATTCAGACTTGAGAGGAAGTGCAGTGTTACATTTGGCATGTTTCACATTTGTTGTGAATGTGTTTATATGAAGTTTTTAGTAAAGAATGT